TCCACCTATTTCATAACAGTGAAAACGCCGTGTGGCTAAATTAGCTATTTTTGGGCCTTCGTTGTGTAATTAAGCCGAACTGCCATTGGGTATTGTTAAGAAATGTTCTCAAACACGAATGCCCATCAAAGGTCAGGACTCTTAGAATAACTCCTGTGATATTTAGATATACCTTCCTCGGTCCTGAGAGGTCTGTTGGATGTGATGTGGATCTAAAAAATTTATGAACCCATAGTCCTTAAAACTTGGACTCAAATTGTAATTCAGTGTTTTTGTTACCTGATTTTATGTGATAAAAGAGCAAAAAACTAATAGTGTTGATTCCTGTCAGACTTAGTGTAGGTGGGCAGCTACATCTCGGTAGGTTTGCAGTTTTCCTGTAGACTTTTTATTTGCAGACAGTGGATTAAACAAAACACTGTGAGATGTTCGAGGCTTGTGATATTAATTTATAATCTAATTGATTGGAACCTCTCCACATTCTCTGATCAGGGTTGAATCAACCACATATAGACTCTAACTAATTGAGCAACTTTTGAAGACAAGTGGTGGTCTGTGATATTGATTTATATATAAAAAAGAGATAAGATGAACCGCATATGACCTTATATGCATATATGTCTTTCATTGTACATTGAGATACTAAATCACAGTCTTAATAAGAAGAAAATATAATGAAATTTGAGGTTGTATTGTAAAAAATATGTAAAAGGTTTAAGGGGCGTAAATACATCTGCAGAAAATGTCCTTGATTATTTTATTGATTTCCAAATGTATTCATTTTCTCTGGTAATAAAGAAATGCTATGAACATGCAGGGGTAAATGAATGAGCACATGCAATTTCCTAAGCCAGTGTTTGAACCCTGAAGTCAAATAAAGACTTGAATCACATAGTTAGAAGTTTGTTGTGCCTGATTCAAATGCCAGACCAATGCATGCTGTTCAAGTTGTTTTTTTTAACCTTGCAACAAGATTTCTTTCTGAGGAAGTTCATGCTGATTGGTATACAGCTTCCTACTGAGATCTTCATTTAATTGTAAAGTGTTCCGACTGCCCAGATGTCTATGATCGAAGAATTAACACCTGATTTCTCACATAACCTCAGAAAGGTACAAAACCCAGAAATAATTGGTGAAAAATCCCTGAGCAATAACCACTGACTTATGCAACCATTTAACAACTCATGGTATTATTCTGGCTGAATCTATGGACAATTTTATTCCATAGTATTAATTTATTTCATTTGGTTTGTTTCCTGGCCTTTAGATATTTACATACAGTTGATTGATGCATGCAATAACCGTCTTGTTGGAACATATTGTTGTTTTCAGATTGCTGTTTTTTTTTTTTCCAGAAGAAAGAATTTAAAGCAGCTGTATCATCATGAAAAAAATGGTACATCAATCATTTTGCATCACTAGATTTGTTCCAGTGCTAAAAACAAATATTTATTTTATCCAATAAACACACAAACGAAAGTTAACAAGACAGGACACACGTGGACGTATTAAAACAGACAAAACTATGGAAGAGAATTAGGGCCACTGGAAAAAAAATGTTAACTTATTTTTTAAAATATTATGAATTCTGACTTTAATCTCAGAATTCTGACTTTTTTTCTCAGAATTCTGACTTTGTTCTCAGAATTCTGACTTTAATCTCATAATTCTGACTTTAATCTCAGAATTTTGGGTCTTAATGTAGATGGACACCATTAAGGAAGAGACGTGGGTGCACTCAGCTTCACTGACAAAGATGTGAGTTTTTTTTTACAGAATTCCAGTAAAACATTGGTGGAAATGAGTAATTAGATGACTTTTTTCCTGCCCGAGGGGTCCCCTGTGATGCCATTTCATAAAACAAGATAGCTAGTTCAGTCTCTAAAACAGACATGGCTACGGCTTGATGCTAACAGGTTTATTAGCTGTCAGAATTAATTTAGAATTCTGAGATTAAAGTCAGAATTGTGAGAAAAAAGTCAGAATTCTGAGATTAAAGTCAGAATTGTGAGAAAAAAGTCGATTAAAGTCAGAATTGTGAGAAAAAAGTCAGAATTCTGAGATTAAAGTCAGAATTGTGAAAAAAGTCAGAATTCTAACTTTTTTTCTCATATTATACTGAAATAAAATTTTAAAAATCAGTTAACTTTTTTAATTTTTTCAGTGGCCCTAATCCTCTTCCATACAAAACAGCTTAATTCTACTGCGTAATTATTTGCATAAATCATGATTCAGGATGAGCGCTGCGCATTGTCAGGGATATTGCGCGTAGATTATGGCCCCTGTCCTCAGGCAGGGGGCGGGAGAGAGAAACAGCCCCTTAAGCAGCAGCAGCGGTAGCAGCACAGCTTAATCAGGCTGGTCCAGGGCAGAAGCCACACAGCACTTTGCTCTCTGATAAGACTCCTCGGAAGAAGAAGAGCGTAAACCACCATACTGAGCTGCCGCTTTACTTCTCATCACAGGAGCTGGATTTTTGGAGACGCATCACGGTTTATGGAGGATGGACATTAGATTGTGGGAAATAGAAGCTGATCTTTAATTTTGGTGTTTTTGGCTTTTTCTTTTTAAATAATAAGGGATACTTTAAAAACTTTTTAATTTTATCTGTTCTTAATCGTGTCTCTTCGTTACTTTTGGACCCTTTTTACACTGGAATGTCCCTTTGTGTTTTTCTTCCTTTATTTATTAAGTTCTGGTCTTTTTCTCTGAGTAAATTGAATGCAGAGATGCTTTATCAACAAGTTTAAAATTTATAACAGGTAAAAAACATACAAAGAAGTAGCAAGCTGGAGCTTTATTATCATCGAGGATTTACTTTTTAAGGAGGACTAAAAGAGTTTGGAGAACCTTTTCGCACGTCAAGGGGGGCAAAGCAGCTGGACAGAGCTCACAGGCGCGCGCAGGTCCGCGAGGCGAGCCGCTGTTCACCCCTCCCCGCGCGCCGTGCTGAGGAGAGAGGCTTCCATAAATGCCCGGTCCGTTGGAGAGGCTCGAGGCTGGGCAGCAAGATGAGCTCGTGGGTACAGCTGCTGCTGCTCGCGTTGCTGGCGGCATGTGCGCGGTTTGGTGTGGCCGAGGTAAGAAAAAAATAATAAAAAATCATAAAAACTTCCCACAATATTAAACTGCTGCACCACACCATCACCAAGACAAAATGAATATAATATAAACAGACAAAAATGTATATATTTATTATTAAATAATATTTATCACCATTTAATTTACAAGCAAAAAACTTTTTAAGTGGGCTACAAATATGAAGCTCCCTCTTTTAAGTTTTACCACGTTTACATTTAAAACGGCCCCTTTTTAAATAATTTGCTGCACCTGTTTCATCACAATTTACTATTCATTACATTTACTATTTTTTATGCATTTATTACTGTTTTCAAGGCTGCACTTAAAAAAATGAAATTGTGTAAAGCTGTTTTAAACGAAATTTCTTTTTGTTTACACTGGTGTATACAAAATGACAAAATAAATCTGTGAAAGTCTAAGTCACAATTCTAAAATGAAATGTTTCCATGTGAGATGCTTAGGTGACACAGAAAACCTCCCTTATAGACCCAAAGAAACCCTTTGGGTGATGTATTAGGAAAAGAAAAGGGGGAGGTGAGGGACAGGAGTTAATTTAAAAGCATCTCCATGTGGCTAGACAAGATGCCTTCATAAACTCTTATTAAACTGTTGAGTTATAGACTCCCTTAAGACCTGGGTTAATTTAATGCCAATCATTTATTCTGTTTCGTCTCAAAGAAATAGTTAGTATTTTCTATCATAAAGACTACCAAGTATTGGTGGAAATTATTTGAATTAAATAATAATACAACAGAGCAATGTATGAGATAAAATGAGTGGTTTTAATTAATACAACGTTTATATCTGCCCTTTTTTTGTTTTCAAGGTTTTGGGGCCTCAACAGTAGAACTTACATGAATGTTTTGGGATGATATGGGGAAGCTTGAATACCAGGAAAGATACCAGGCTCCATTCATTGAATAAAGTCAGTTGAGCATGAGGGAAATCTAACAGTTCCCCTTAAATAGAGAGAGTTTGCCACTAACTGTAGAGGGCAGCCGGACCCACTACAGGTTAGGGCATGGCATTAATAGAAACTTAAAAACTAAAAAACAGTGGAAGGCAGTGTGCCAACTGCAGCATAGAGGTTTTTATGTGTTTCATTTACCAAACAGCATTGAAATGGTCTGAAAAATCAGATAATAAAGACCACATTATCATAACATCTATTTAGATTGCAGACAATTGGATTTAGATTATAGAGTTCATTTGATATCACGGTGTAGGCACTCATTAAAATATTGCCTTTCTGTGCTGATTTTAGGACCAATTCATTGGCTGAACTAGCTATGCACACTGCTGTTCATGAAGTAGAAATACCATTTTACACTATGTGATTTTGCTCCCTGTATGAACTAGACATAGTAGTACAACCCACAGACTTTTACATTAATTATTAAATTTGCAATCCTACCATTTCTTATTTTACCCTGTTCAGGAGGCTCAGGTTGTTTTATAGCTCAAAATGGATGATGAGGTTTAAAAAAAACGTCTTTTGTCTCTTCTCTAACCCTAATGGATCTAAGTCTTGAGTCTGTGTTTTGTGGAAGATACCAAGTTTATTGCCCCATTATCTACCCATCTGAGTTCAGACGGAGCTGGGATCAGTTAACCGTTAACCATTTACACATCATGCTAGCATGGTTCCTCGCCTCCTAGTGACGATCCACAGTACTACTGCTAGGATTGAAGGACGGAATCAAGCTAATCAAAATGGCGGCGCCCGTAACATTCAGGAAGTTATGTTTCGTTATAATTGTGATATGTCGTTGTTTGCGGAGACTCTGAACAAGAAGGCAGCCTTTGGTCGCACCACGCTCTTTTAAAATGTGGTGTTAAGAAGATTTCGATTGTTCTTCTTCTGCATTATGGCAGTTGGCAAGCAACTCACTGATATGCATTACTGCCAACTACTGACAGCTGACTGTAAGGAGATGAGCTCTCTGCTCATGCGCACTTTGTTATCAGAGTGCCGAGCCACAACTGAACCGTGCCAAGCCCTACTGATGAACTAGTACCAGTTTAGCACGGCTCGGTTGTGTCTGCACTCTCTGGTTCAGTTTGCGTGCCATCTACACTCAACAGTTATCTCAGTTGCCGGGCTCGGACTGATCTCGGCATGGTTTCAAAAGGGTAGTGTAAACTGGACCTATGTCCCAACAGCATTCAACCACATTTTATGTTACCAGAATAACCCATCATTTCAGACTGCTGATGCAGAAGAAAAACCGATTTCTGTAAATTTTGGTTTCCACTTTCAATCAACACTTGCTTCATCAGAATAAATCTTCTCTTTCCAACTTTTTTTATTGTCATTACACTGTCACAAGTACAGAGCACTGAAATGAACTCTCCACATAAAACACACCCCCGGGAAGAACAGGACGCCCACAGTGCGCGGGCGCCGGAGAGCGGTGGCGCGAAAAGGCTCATAGCACAGACACAAAGAGAAAGGGGGTGAAAAAAATCGCTTCGGCAATAGATATCAGGATTTTTAGCTGCCTGATATAATATTGATCTTTTAGTTCCTAGTATCGATTTTAAAGCAAAACATTTTTACCTAAAACACAGGGAAAATGGGCTACCTTTGTACCGCTATGCGGCGCAGCGCTGTATCTGTAGTTGAGGCAGACACACTGGAAGACATGGACTGACTCAAATCCCAAGCAACATGGATGCCAAAATAACTGAACATTCAATATAATCTGATAAACATATACAGAGGTTGCTTTTTTATCTATACATTCAATTTTGATTGCAGGAAGAATCGCAATATATGGTGATATAGCAATATAGTGATAATATCGTATTGTGACCCAAGCATCATGACACGCATCTTATCGCAACACATCCCAATACTCTCATCTACCCAGAGTGGCAGTCTCTGGGAGTGGGGCTCGAACTCACAACCTCAGGATTCCAAGATCTATGCCCTAACCTCCCCTAATGAAATCTGCTGATTAAAAGAAAAGCAACAGTAAAAATACAATGCAGCGTGAGAGATCGACCTAGTCTGCTCAAACAGGATATCTAAACCTCACCAAGGGTCCGATGCAGGTCAACTGACGCCTGACCAAACAAGAAAAAGATTTTTCTGAAGAAAAGTCTACAACTGGCTTGATTTTATCATCTGTTTAGCTTCCGCTGCAGATTTAATCTGGGCAACCGAGGCAGGCGAGTGTTCTCCACAATGATTAGTCTTTGCCACTGACCTAACTAAACTGGATTGAATTGGGCTGCAAATCAGCCAAGCCTGTTATGGGAAAAGGCGTCTTAGACTGTAAGAGATAAGACACCTCTTTTATTCTGCTATTGAAGGAACATAAATGAGACACATTTCTACAGGAATGTAGTATACCATCATTTTAGAAACCTCACATAGAGGTAGATGTTTGATCTGTGAGAGGTAACTTCAGCTTCCTGTCATCAAGCTTTCTTCTCATTTTCTATCGTTAAGCAGTCAGCACGTAGAAAGGAAATTTCAAATTTGACACTGCTTTATAGGAGAACGTTGACAAAGCTTTGAGGTATACAACCAGGAATTCCCCAGGTCTAATTTTAAACATCAAGGATTCACAGATGGGAAACGATCGCAACTGCGTGTTCTGTGACTTGTTAAAAGAGAAAAAAGTCAGGGAACATGATGTCTTATATGTTCTGGGTCACAGATGAAATGTTCTGGATCTTCTGTTTCCAGGCTAAAAGGTAAACTATGACAGTGGAATTAATTAACCTCCCAATCGTTCACTCGATGCTGCGATGCGCACGTGTTTGCACGCTCTCTGGGCCTGCATGTGAAACCTCCCACATGTGCCGTGGCTGCTGCTGCACTGCCGCCAGCAAATTCGACCCCCTAATTATCTACGATTAGATGTTCTCCCTCCACCTCCTCCTCCCCCCCCCCTGGGCTGCAGCCGCTGCCTGTGCCTGGGATTCCTCAGGGCGTCTGCAGCCTCTTTGGGGAGCTGGGACGTTACTTTAGGTGATAAAGACTGGTTTATGACAAAATTGGAGGTTTTAAATGGTACAAAAGTTAAAGAGTGGAGATGACAGTATAAATATTAGTAGACTTGCAGGCTACCATATAAATGACAGAAGCTTTTTCTTGCTATATTTACTCTATAAAGAATCGTAAAATTACTCACGTCCTTAAACCTTTTCAGATTTTATGATCATTTAAATGTGTGATGGGTTTTTGTATAAAGAAAAAATGCTTTTGCTAACTCTAAATGTGCTAAGGCTTGAGACTAAGTTGGAGGTTCAACTTCAACAACCCTAAATATGGAGCTTTAGCTGCAGTTTCTTTGTTCAGATCAAATTTGAGCCAAACAAGAGTCAGTATACTGCATGTTTTAGATGTTCCCTAATTTCACACACCTTCATGAAATTAGGCTTCTGCAGATTTTGATCAAATAAAGAGACTTCTATACATGCATTGGGTATCTATTCATGTTTAATTTAACAGCCCAAACCTTAGTACAATAAAAAAAAAGAAAAAAAAAAGGAGACAAATGAAAAATGTGTAATTTGCTTAGAAACATTTAGGCTAAAGCTTGTGGAAACATGTTTTTCAAAGAGCTGACTTAAAATCGAATCAAAGTGTCACTTTATTTCTGTTTTCCCGCATTCGGAATGTAAACTGTTCCTCTATTAAAGGAAAACCTACTAAAATAAGTTTGTAGATGCAAACTGACAGAAAGTGGAAGAAGTATGCTGCGTTCTGTTTGGCACAGATGGGATGAAGTGACTTTACTTGTAGAGTTTGGTGTGAAAATATCTGATAAAATCCACCTATGAACAGATGCTTCATTATGGCTGTCCTTTTCATCGCAGTCGCACATTTACCACTATTAACGCGTGTTTACAGTCTCTGACAGCCTTCTCTGCATCTGTTTGTTTACCAGATCCGAGGTGTTTATTTAATATTTCCTGCTTAGACACAAATTGCCGTGACAGCAGGCACCACGGCGAACAAAAGGCACTCACCCTATAATTACCATCAAACACAATTAGCCGAGCCGGCTGGCTCGCTCCGTAGGCAAAGAGAGGAAATAATCATGACGAGTCCTCAGGGGCATCGGTGAGCTAGTGGAAAAGGATGCGAGAGGTATACAGCGGGCATTTCCCTGCTGTATTTATTTGACTCTTTGGAAAGTCAACCAATAATGGGGGAATGTCGATGGGAGTATGGGGTGGGCTGGGTTAGTGTGCATGTTCATGCATGGATGGCTGCTAGCTGCTGGGATTCATTATGTTCTTCACGAGCTCAGTAAAACTACTGAGTTACATTTACTGGGCTGCAATCATTAGATGTTTAATTGCTGTTTGCAACATAATGACTTCTTTTGAATGTTTTCATTAGTTTAAGTTCTCTAGAAAAAAATGACGAACTAAGTGGACTCATTTTAGGGCATTTTAACTGAAGTTAGGGAGATCCCCGACCCACGTCTAATCCTCGTCCATTTCAGCCTGTCTCTTATTCATCTATTATTCCCCTTTTTTTTTATCCAGATGCACCTCCCTTCTCTCATCCTCTCCATATCACTCCTTCCCCCACTTCCTGACTCCTTGACTGCTCCTTTGACCCCTAAATGTTAGCAGATGAGAGGACACAACGCCAATAGTCATTCACCATGCTCTTAGTGACCATTGTGTGTCTGCTTTGGTTAATTCCCCCCTCCCTTGCAGGCTGTCTCTCGCCCATTAATGACCAAGGAGGGGGTTAAACCCACAGTCAAATCTCTAGAATCACAAAGTAGAGTTGTTCAGTGGTTTTTTGATGAGATCTTCTGGGAAGATTTGGTCAGATGCTCTTAAAGACAAGCGTAGTTGTGGAAGTGATGGAGTTTTAGTTTCTCTTACTCTGATAAGAGAAATGATTCAATGCTTTAATGTTATGAATGATGCACAACATGCATTATCCTGTTTTATCTGTTTGCATTATGAGTTCAAAGTCGTTTATTTGGGCTGATATGTTTGTTTCAGGAGGACGCTCTGCCTGCAGCCCTGGTGGAGCTGGTTAGAAACAGTCCCATTGCTTCCATAGAGGACCTCCAGCTGCTGCTGCTCTCTGACTCCGTAGGTAAAGACCCAAAGCCTTTTTTCTTAAACTTTACAGACACATATATAACAACTTGCATCTAAATTCACTAACACAAACATCACTAAACAGAGCCTTAAAACTCTCAAGATCCCGCTTTTTTGGTGTGCTTTTCAAAACAAGTATTTTCACATCTCTACCATTTATGTTTTACCCCACATATGAACTGATGGCCTTTTTGTTTTTCCAAAATGCTTCTTTTGCTACCTCTGGGTAGCAAGCATTAGTGTATGTTGCAGCTCTTTTGCCTTTTATAGGTAAAAATAATACCCTAAACAGAAGTAGGCTTTGTGTTGAACGTTCTTTAATTCATAGTAAAAATACAGCTGCTCCCACTTTCCATTTTTGCAGTTAATACTTGCACTGAGTTTTTTAAACATGGCCTTTAAATCATATGGGTTCAGTAATAGTAGGGACAGAAGCACACATCGGGTAGAGAAGACTACAAAATAAAAGCACGTGTTCAAAGTGGAATATGCCTGACTAGTACTAACATTTTAAAATATTAAAAATCACAATTTCTTTTTTATTTCCCAAAGCTCAGTGCATTCTTTATCAGCTAACTTTCTCTGAGTCATACACCTGGAAACAACTCAAAAACTACTTCCTTTCGTACTTCCGAATAAGTGTCCTAAATAAAGAGACAAAGTTTTACCCATAAATGCCCTTTACACAGGGTTCATAGTAACAATCTGGTCGGAATCACAGTGTAATTTAATTTTGCCAACCAAAACGTTTATATCAACACTGGTCAAAAGTTTTTTCCTAGACATGGTGGCATAGGGTTGATATATATGTGGGCCTTAGCCATGTCCTGCCAGCCACTCATACCAAAAAGTCCTATTATTTAGATATAATATATATATTTTTTCCATCTGACAAAGATTTAAATTAGGCTTAAATTAAAGAAGCTTGACAATTTGTTCTGTTTCTTCCCAATAAGAAAACACCCCTGTTTCTAAACTGAATATCATGCAGAACAAATCATTGAAAATGTTTATTTTAGTCAATACATTCTAGGTAAAGGCCAATATTAATGTTTGTAATGTTTGTCTCTGTTTTTCTATGTATTTTAAGTAACATTCAGTCTTTGACAGAGCTACTTAAAAAAAACATGACCTTGTTTTTTTAATGACAAATAATTCTCACTTCATGATGACCTTGATCATAAATGCTCGGCATTACTCATAGATCTTTGACACAAATTGATGCAGTAAACAGACTTTCCATTCATCTTTTTTTATGTAAAAACTTCAAAGCAACCATTATTTCTGATAAATGATAAAATAATTTTGGTTCTTATTGTGTTCTCTATATAGAAATTACATTAACCACATTTTGTAGAGGTTTTCCAGTACTTAAGGTTAATGCAGCCCAGGATTAACTCTATGCTCCAGTTGCTGCTGTCCTTTCTTAATAGGAGGACCTTTAACTGTAGAATATTTAGTATTTCTTAAAAATCTTTGTATACATTACTACCAAAGCCATCCCTTTTACATGGCACATAAGTGACACATACATAATGTATTTTGTTTGTTCAAATGGGATAAATTATGTGTGTGTTTTTGTCTCAGATGAGGAGGAAAGTAACTCTGCTGCCAATGGAGGTCACAGACTCCCACGGAGCCTCGGTTAGTCAAACCTCTTTTCATTTAGTTTCAGTTTGAAAATCAATTATAAGACAAGTTTCTGTATAGACTCAGTTTTAATGTATTTTTTATTACTCAGGATCTTTTGCTGTCATTTCCACGTCTTTGTGCATTTTGTCTGCTACTAGGACAGTCTTTTAACCATGTTGGCTATAGACCTCTTAGTCAGTGTCTGTGGGAAGTGATTAATGATGACAGCATGTTTTTTTTTGTTCCCCAATTAGTCTTTTGTCGCTGTTCTCATAAAGGAAAAATTTAGATTTCTAGATAGTGATATAAAGCCTTTGTTGAGCTTTTAATACAACTTGTGTAGTGTTCTTTTGAATGCATGTCCTTGTATGTTAACAATAGAAAAATTGAAACTCTCATCTCAGACAAGTATGTATTGTGTGGTTTATCAAACGTATGAGGGGGCTTACATCATCACTGCCACTGAAGCTTTACTGTGATGTATCTGTTCCCTCAGATGCTCAGCCCGCTGTACAAGCTCAGTGTAAAGTTCGCACAGAAGTGGTGGAGGTCACCAGAGCCATGTTGGACCGCAGCAACGCCAACTTTCTGCTGTGGCCCCCGTGTGTGGAGGTTCAGCGCTGCTCTGGCTGCTGCAACACTAAGAGCCTCCACTGCGTTCCTGTCCTCACACACACTAGATACCTGCAGGTAAAAGAGCATGCACTAACACACATTATATAATCTCAGTTAAGGGTCTTAAAATTACTATAATAAAACATTTTAACTGATAAATCTCAGGATTTCTTTGAAAGCTAAAAAATGTTTCATGATTTTAAATGAAATTAGCTGGGTTTTAGATTATCCAGTCGATAATAGAGCCATTTCAGATATTTTTATCAATAGTTCCTGTCCTAAGCAACTTGATGGTTTAATTAAAAGGAACCATGAAATCAAAATCTGCTTAGAGTATCCATAATGTTAATTTTCATTAAGTGTTTAATTGTAAACTATATTTAATAAACGCTGTAATAAAGTAGCCCTCACAAGAACTAAAAATAGTGTGATTTGAGTCCTCCTCATGCAGTATAAACTTCCACAGTGAAAACTGTTAAAAGGAATGCATGATGCGTTCACTGATTGGAAAAACAATACGATTCTTTGCTTCTGACCAGCCAATCCCTGTTAGGGTCAGTAAAGTATAAAATTGACCAGTTTTGGCGATGTTGGATTTCTTCGTAGATTTCTATTTATAAGCTCTAAAACAATTAAGCAACAACAACACAGAATTGCCCCGTAGGCTGGTCTACAGACTAAACCTGTACCTCCTGTCCTACAGTTCATTTATTTACTAAACAAACGACAAATAAGCAAACAAAGGAACAAACAAACACAGTTATATAACCGTGCCTAAATGCACCAGTACAATGTGTTTTTTGTTTCACTTTAAGTACTTCCCAGTACCTTCCATCTTCTTCTTAACCTCTCCAGGTCATGAAGATTGAGTACATCAACAAAAGACCCACTTATGCTAAAGCTGTAGTGTCAGTGGTGGATCATGTGGAGTGCAGATGTCAGACTGCTCCCCGTACCGTTGTGCTCAAGAAGAAATCCTCTCACAGACCGCACAGCCACTTGCATCGAAACCAGACGCTCAGCCCCGGACCTGCACAAGGACAGGTACATATTTTATCTGCAACGTCTCTGTTTTCAGGATAAAAGGATTAAAGCTTGATAACTGGTGTACAGCCTACATTATTTAGCCATAAATTCTTCTGTGCTGCTAAACTATCTGTTATCATTTGAGTATGTTAGCAAAAGCATTATTTGATTGTGACGGGTGGTCTTAAGAGATCAGACATGATTCCAGCAAATACCATCAAACAAATAATTGAGTCTGAGTTTTTTTTCCTTTCTTCTTTAAATGATTTATGTGAAGACCAAGACAGCACAGTGGGCGGAATTTGACTTTAATGCCTTTAGGCCCCTTTGAAAGGTTGTCACAAAGTTTAGCTGGCAGTAGGCGTGTTGTGGGGGTTGACTTGAGCAGTGGTCCATTATAACCAACAGTGTAACTGTCACATATCAGTTCTACTTTGACTTTTTCATTGTGAAAGACTCATCAACAGAGGTTGCTTAAAGAAGGACCTGTCTTAGATGCCATTTAGTGGCACTGTAATGTAAAAAAGGCCTTTTGTTGCCTTCCTGTGGCCGTTCCTTTGCAGGTTAGGGTTATTGAATGTTCTAAAGCTCCACTTTGCCACTTAACCAGTTTTGATTACTATATGATGTACACAAAAAACTTGTATATAAGTTAATAAAGAAGATATTAAGCTTTGATTTGCTGTAGGATGATTAAGATAAAAAAAACTCATACATTTTCATTTATTGTTACTATGATGGACTTTCTTCCTTTCAATCACTTGTTATTTCAAGCAATGGACTGTCTAGCAGAGAAACTGCTCTGCCATTAAACATGATTTAGCTATTATTCTAAAACAAATGCAAAATATTTCAAGTATATATTGTAATCTTTAATGATCACCTTATATTATCTTTGATATGCCTTTAGTATTAATCTTAGCCTTATGGGTAATGTTTTAAGAGTTGTGAGAGCCTTAATTGAGATCTATAATTTCATATAGGTTGTGAACATTTCTCAATCTAGCAGCCTTCAAAGTAGGATTGGATAAGTTCAGTATCCCTAATCTGCTGACATCAAACTCTCTGAATTAACAGCCAACATGCCTTTTAATACATAATGTTTCATCTAGAAGATTCTGAAAGGTTTTTTGAGAATTTTCTTAAGCCTGATGCATGAATAGCTGTTTTTTTCTTTACACACAGGAACAATTGGTACTTTGTACTCTGTTGTATGGTGCATTCTCTAACTAGAAAAATGGGGTTGGATGTTTAATTTATAACAGGGTTAGCAGTCAGTCCTAGTGGATTTATATATGATGCGAGGGATGCAGATTTACTTTGTAAGAAATGGGGATGTCCTGATGTCCAAAAATAATAACGGATATTGGACTGATGTTACCATAGAAACTAATATTGGAGAGTATCGCCCTGCATCTGATTCTCCAATATTGTTCAAGGTGTCAAAGTGTCAGTTGTTATCATAACTATAAATATGAAACAAATTACAATTAGTTCAAAGAATAAAAACATTTACTGCTTACTGTACCATCTGCTTAAAAAATGTATAGTTTGAACTTGAGGCAACTGCTGCAAAAATCTTTAATTTTGCTCTTCAGGTCAAGGTGCACTCAAAAGAGGAGCTCCACCATTTGGATGAGCTGAAACAAAACCAGAGGGCTCATCTGGAGGATCTCTCGCAGCACTGGGACCCCAGAGGAGACACCTTTCCTCAGCCTGAAGGGTACAGTCTGACTGAAGAAGACACATCTCGATCTGAGGAGGCAGTGTTGATTTCTTCACACTGGGCTTACAATTTCACCAAGCTTCTTGGGACTGAACATCATACTGAGGCCCAGGAAAATGGGGAAAGGAAGAATGTTGAGGTTTCTAAAGACAAATCTGAACCCTTTGTGGGTATTGTAGGCATGGAAGCAAAGTTGGGAGAAGATGGGTTCAACAGTACAGAAAGGAATCCTAAAATGGGACACAAAGACACACAAACTCACAAAGCCATGTTCAATAATAGTGAGGAATCCCTCAATGAAAGAGTAAGGAACAGGTTCAGACCAACCAAAGAACCCAACCCAGACCCTCGAGAGCTGGCAGGAAGGAGAGAAAATGAGACTCCTGACATGGAGAGGATGTTACAAGTCCAGGAGGAAAAATTAGAGGCAGAGAGAAAAGAGCTTCTCCTTCTTCACAAGAGGTTGGATGAAGAGAAGGAATTACTGCGGCAACAGCAGATAAAACGGGAGGAAGAAGAAAAGGTTAAAGACAAGGAGGTCGATAGTCAACATTTCCAACATAGAAAACATCATCATCTGCATACAACAACACCAAAACCAGGTAAGAAACTAATATGAAGTCTCTAAATTTAGAAGAGTAAAATGAATCAGTAAGTTAATTTGATGGTCTCTTTCTTTATTTCCACTCTACAGAGACAACATCCCCAACCACGCAAAAGCCATCACCCACGAAAGACCTCCAACTGCCCATTCGTCGAAATTCTCCAAAAAGAAGAAGATTAAGAAAGAATCGCAAAAAGATCAGCAAGGCAGCAATGAGAGCGATGCTCATGTAGGACTGAAATGATGTCAGGTGAGCTCAAAGTAATAAATGGATGTATATCATAACCAGACATGGTCACTGGTATTAAGGTTTCCATGGTTACAGAGATCATGGTTTAATGTTTTTTTAACTAGAAGCAAGAAGATTGTTTAAGACTATATCAAGCAAACCCTACTCCTAATCCCCTGCGCACTGCTGTTCAGCTGGCTGATGGAACTTTTTGTGAAAAAGGCCTATTCTGCTTTTTGTCTCCGGACTGGCATGGCATAGAAATGTCAAGGAGTAAAACTAATTTCTTCTTTTTGGGTAACACAGTTTTCAAAGCTACAACTGAGAAGCTCCGATTGCATGCAGCTGCATGGTGGCAACCTGAGTAACAACAAGACTAATAAACAAACCAAAATCAGACATTAGACTAAAGGGGTCTGTTTCACAAAGCGGGTTTACTGAAAACTATAAGTTGTCTAAACCTGAAAACAGGGAAACTCTGACTTTTCCGATTTACAAGGAGAGTTTATTCAACCTCTGTTTCAGTCGTCATAGTAACATTCTCCCTAGAGAACCTGGTCAGCATTAGGTTTTCTTCAGTAAACTATGTCCACTGTCTCTGCTCTCATTACAGCCAATCAGGTTTTATTTCGTGATTTTGTCAGATTTTTGTCATACTTTTCTGCATAAAAAAAAAAAAAAAATATATATATATATATAGGCTATATAGATATATATATTAGGGTTGTCACAATACTAAACTTTTCAACTCGATACCGATACCAAGTAAAATATTCGATACTCGATGTCATTTTCGATACCACAAGGATAAAAACAAAGACTCCAAAATTCAACAGAAATGTTTTCATTAATAAAAGAAATACAATAAATAGATAAATAAATACAATAAACAATATTTTGAGGTTGTATGCTGTGCACAATTCTAAGCAAGCTAAAATTAAGTGTACCTTCCTTGGCTATGCTTTACACACATAACAATGACACTAGCCAAACCAGTTAAAAAACAAAAATAATTCTCAGCAGCTGCACCTGTTACAGAAAAAAGTCTGAAACCGAAAAGTGCAGAGAATTATTCAATCACACAGTGTACTGAAAGTGCATTGCCCTTTATTCTGCACTTCAGATGAATGACTGCTTAGGTGCCACTGGTGGTAGCACTGTATCCATACTTTTGAAAATGA